GGGACATTTGCATACAACTGCCACACCCCCATTCTTGCAAGATTCGCAAGACGTTAGGGAGAGTAAGTAAAATCTACGTGTGCGAGGGCGCTCTTCAATATAATTAAAACAACTATCGATCACTGACGTCTTGGGCCAAGACTACAGTAATCAAGGCCCTGGTACCAGTATTGGCAGGAATGCACGGCAGTGGTGTGTCTAGTGTTTTGAATCGGTATTTTTTCTTAAAGTAAAAACGAATGTAAAATGGTTCTTATTCTTTAAAGAGTTTTCACGCCAAAGAAAGGTGGCACTACCGTTTCTTTCCAAAATGGCGGTTTCAATTATATGAAAGATTAAACAACGATACAAACAACCACAGGTCTTTATTCACATAACCTAGTTTCTTCACAGAATAATACAAATTCGTTATATATATATTAAAACCTGATGACAGTCGAAATATTTCTACTGAGTTCAAAACAACATGTTTATCATATTCCCACGTGATATACACTGACGATGGTAAAATACAAAGGCTAGGCCTATATAAGGAACAGGTACGCAACTTACAGTGCACAATGAGGGCAACGTTGGGAAATTTCCCATGAGTTGTCGACACACCATTGCTTGAGCTGCAAGTATAGTTTCCAGCCTGAAACCTTGTGATGTTACTCAAACGCAGTGTACTGATACCGCCATTGCTCACTGGTAAGGTCAATGGATCGCTCCAACTCTGCATCTCCCAAGTGACGGATTCGGGTAAGGGGTTAGCATCCACGATGCATTTCAGGAGAACCTCACTGCCCTCCACCACTGGGTTTTCCGGGAATTGCTCGAGATGGAATCTCGGTGCAGCTGTAGATGTGTCGGTATTGACAATCAAAAACGTTTTGGTGATAGTTGATGTCAAGCAAGCAAAAATGGCTATGGATGGACCTTGAGAGTTCCAGCCTTTTTGATGTTCAGAGTATAATCCCAATTTTAATCTCATGATCAGAGTGAGAGCTGAAAGTAAGGTTTAAGCAGTAAACTACAAATGCCACAAACAACTGCCTATTAAAGGCGAAGTGGAGAACTTAACATAAGATACTGCATACGCTTTCGTAGAAACAACTACATCAAATGCAATGAAAGGGGACAACTAGGGTGGGAGTTTAAGTACTGTCTCTGCCATTGAACAGTGGGTGATGAATTATTAAAGGCTGAAAGTCTGTTCTATGGCATCACGAAGGCTTCTCTCCCGACCTCGACGAAGAAGACTGTATATGCTAATTAGGGAACTCTAAACTTAGTCGTGGTTTTTTCTCTCTCTTAGTCGCTCAGCCATAACCATTCTAAATATTTCGAATACATACCTTTTACATGAAGAATTACACTTGTGTTTATCCATTGACTGTCCTCCGTATTGGACGCGTGGCACTGCAAAACATGTCCGTGGTGAGTTAGTCTTGGCAAAAGTGTTATCGTGCTAGTGCTGGTGGTCAATTTATCGGCGTCGACGGTGTCCACTGAGGTGTGTGTCGTTACCTCTTGTCCACCTATGGTCCACTTGAATGATGCTCCAGGATTGATGTCTGGTACCGTGCAAGTTAACCTGTGATAGTTTCCCTCCGTCAGGGGACAGAGCCCACCATATGGCGGGAAACTTCCGGCTTCGTCTAACAAGCTGATACGGGTTGCGGGAACTGGACAAAAAATGCCAGACTAGCGTGACTCAGTGGAGGCGACATAACACATTTTCGATGCGATTAAATTCCTAAACCGAACTAAGAAGGAAGAATGTCAGACTGAATGCCAACTAATAAAAGCAAATACGAGAATATGAATCGCCACTGTTCTTAAATACAAGCTAAGCTTACGCAGCGCAATATCAGCCATTCGACAGATGAACCTATTACTAGCTATTTATTCAACTCAACTCAAATAAAATCAAATGTTGTCTTCTTGTCACTACTTGGATTGCTCTCAATCTTGGATATGTATGATGTATGGTCTTTTCGATGTCTACTCCCAGCCCAAAAGGGACCGTACAGGTTTAAACGTAAGGGTGCCCCGTATAATATTAAATGACCCTCTCGCTTCGCAAAATCAGACTACTTTGAGTATTCGTCCTTCAAGGTCATAACCTCCAGTGATAAAATTCTAAGGCTTGATTATGATGAGGGTTGAAAAATTATGCTAGGATCCCAGTATTTTATTACCATATTGTCAGAGGGAGGACGTGGTATACATAAGAGGGAACGAAAGAAAACTTGAATTGACAATGCAGTGTAGATAATGTAGCAAAATATTACCATGGAAAGCATGTCGAAGACAGTTGCCTGCATAAACAATGGACTCTTAGTGTTTGCAGGTCTTCAGATGAAAACAAAAGTGTGCCTCTACGAATTTGTAAAGCGTTGGCCAATCACGACACGCGAAATCCGTCGACCCTTTCCAAACGTGCGTTAGGTCGACAGATTTCACGCGTCGTGATTGGCCAACGTATTGCAAACTCTTGGAGGCGCACTATTGTAAATTGCCCGTATTAATGCATGCGCGTTTGCAACTGCAAGTCAATATATACTTTTTATGCTCTCACCTGTAACAATCACGTATATGCTGCAAAATCCAATCTTTGTATGAAGTGCTTCATTTTGAAAGACTGCGCGACCAATGTACATTCCTTGATCCAAGGGAAACCGCAGCGAATCAACCGTCAGTATACTGCTCTCGTTAAGAGTTTCGGTAGACACTGAAAACTTGGAATCCAGAAATGGAGTGGACAAGTTCGGATTTCTGTCATAGATGGCTGAATCGTGAGGTGTCAGCCAGATGAAATACTCGAGCCAGTAGGAGGGATCATCGATGGTGTAGCTGCAGAACAAAGACGCCTTGCTTCCCTCAACGGCGCTGACCCTTTGGAATGGTGGTGTAACAACACTCAGCAAACAGGAAACTGAGAGGGGAAAAGCGTAAGAGTAAGGTGCTTGCAAAAACTCCAAAAATGTTACCCATTATCTGTTCGGTGTCCAATAACCCCCCCCCCAAACACGTAAGTGTGTTTTTGCCTGCAACTGGGAACCCTCTATTGTTCCTCTTTTGTTTGTACTTTTTTACAGGACCACCCATATGTTTTGTACACAGTTGTCAATCGGGGACCCTCTGTCAATCGGGGACCTTATTGTCCTCTATTGTTCAGGGTCCCCAATTGAATGCAAAACAAACTCACCCACACAAGTGTGTGTTTGTCTGCAACTGGAGGACCCCCTGATGTTCCTCTTTTGTTTGTACTTTAATTTTTTTTTAGAAGACCACACATATGGTTTGTACACAGATGTCAATCGGGGGACCCTCTGTCAAACGGGGACCTTATTGTCCTCTATTGAATGCAGGAACAAACTCAAACACAGGCAAGCAACGATGGCCAGTGGAGGCCGAGAAAACAGAACTGAATTATCCAAGGAAGGAATTTTATTCGAGGGTCCAAAAATAATCCAGAAAATCGTCTTTCCTTTTTATTTCAAAACGCCTTAATCACCTATTTGGGATATAGCCCCGTTGTCCTCTGGATCCACCAGTTGGGGACGGGACTGGACAGTTAAATGTCTATGTTGCGTACCTGAGCTCAACCCAGATAAAGGGGGGTCTTTGCTAGGCATCTGAAGTTCCCCTCAATGTAGTACGTCCCAATAGAATGATAGAGAGGCTACGGCAATTCAGATAATTTTGCATTTTCCCACTTCAGAGTTTCACCCACGTCAGTATCTTCTTTTTTATTTCCTTATTGTCAATAACTTCAATAACGGTCAGCACAAAGTTAAGACGAATTCGTGGTCATAGGTATTTAGTGCTAAGGGTAAAATTTATTCTTACCTGTCTGGAGGCGTGTTAGGCCGATTGCCATACAGAATAAAATAATCGAGAGAGCCATTCTGATGTTAAATATTATACGTGTGTGCGATCGAAGAGCTGGAAATCTTCTATAATTGCAATGGCCGAGCGGAAACGAGTTGAAAGTAAAAGCAGCATCGCGCGTACTATCACGTGTGATTCATAGCAAGAGAACAAAAAATATTGCAACCTTCAGGGAGCGTTGAACTCTCATATTGAAACGTTTTAATTAAATGCATGCACTAGTGTAATTTCCTTGATCCTCACCTAAGCCTGGATGCTTACGTTTAAAATCAACACAAGTTGACATCTCAAGTGATTAAATAATCACACAAACGACGTTAGATACCAGCTTCCATAGGCCTAAATAATGGCCATAAAAACCCCAAATTACCTCCCAGTACAGAAGTCCGTCTATACACTTTGCATACGCGATCGGGGTTAGGGGTAATGAATTCAATTATTATTACCACAGGCACTGGGCCATCCAATGAAAAGAGTCAGTCTTCTATGGGCTGACTGTTTTTATCATAAGAAATTGCGACATTGGGTCGAATGAATAAAAAGTAGCATTCGCTTTTACTACAATTTTCGAAGCATTTACTCGTGTTTGTGTGAATGATAACGAAGCAAATGCTTTTAGTTTAGTGCAATTGCTAAAACGTAAAAGTATTTACTTTTTACTCCATAAGCTTGTGCTTGATAATAAGCAGTGGCTTCAAGTTCTACAGAATTTGAGTATTTATTTGACATTTTTCAAGACTGGATCATTGCAAGCTTGAAAACGAGGAGCATTTGCTAATGTTTAAAATGGCAGCGTTCATGTATGTCATTCGAAAAGAAAAGCTGTGTGCCTTAAGGAGGGAATCTCAAGAAACCAGATGCCGGCAGTTGTATCGATCTGAGAGTGGCAGAGCAATTTTTTTCATCAAGGTTTTTGCGATCAAAATTACTGTCATCATGCTTATCTGCCATGCTGGGGTCTTCAGATATAGTACCTTGCTGCACTCTGTGTGTCTGTACGTGCAGACAACGGAAGCCCTGTTGTGCAAAACTGTTCGGCTGTGAAGTCAGCCTCAAGCATAAGGCATTTGCTAATATCTAAACTAAGAGATGCTGAAAAGTAAAAGAAACATTTTATTCATACAAATTCAAGCATTTGCTTATACTTAATGCTTTACTTCTCAGTAAACGCTTTTGCTGTTTGCTTGAACTTAATGGCATTTGCTATATAGTTTTTATTCATACGACCCTATGTACGTTAACTGTAATGCTAACGTTTCCAGACAATAAAGGTAATGGTCTGGTTTCAAAACAGTGCGCAAAACTTTAACCAAGCCATCCAAAATCATCTTTTTGTTCCCCTTTTCATTCTTTCAGAGGACAACAGCTGTTTCTTTTTAAACTATGATTTCGATTTGAATTAATCACACATATTAAATGTGTTCAAATGGTGGTTGTTTGGAAATCTCTTTTTTTCAGAAAAACATAAGCGTTTGTGGGAACATAATTATATTCTACACTGCGAGAAGGGAACAAATATAATTACGACGAGTGCCCCGGCTGCTGAGATTTTGAAGGTATCTATCAGTATAAAAGGGACCTAAAATGGGGTGATGTCCCCCTTCAACTATTTAATGTAAAGTGCTTCTAGGTTTGATTTGTACTATATACAGTGCATACACAAGTTGAACAGGTAGAAATCTAGAGATGTATCTTCGCAGAAATTCGGAGAATTGTGTTGCGCAAATATGTTTCAAGAAAGCAAAAAGGGGAGGGAATTCATGACTTCCCATATGTATTTTGATTCTTGACCGTGACTGCACCCTTACCTCTACAAATTCAGTCTGCAAAGAGGTATGCAAAAAGCCCATTGAACCACATTGTGATTCTAATGAAAAAATCTGAATGATTTCCGGTACCACATCAATGTCAACGCAAATTGCAGTCACATTTTCAGGGAATACAATAATGGTTTCATACATTCCACATGAAAAAACGTACACCACAGAAAAATAGGAGACTGTGCTGAGCCCTATTACTATTTTTGAATTACAATGTACAAATAGCTTGCATCTGGAAGATCCTAGATTCCAGATATCCTTTTCGAAACCACTTTTAATTACACAATGGCAGGCTGAGTGTTTGAATTTATATTAACTTTGACTAGAAACTACTGCTGATTTGTTCTTTGGATTACTAACTCTCGGTGTCAGTCTTCGAGCATGCATTTTCCTTTCTTAGTCACTGTCAAGCTTTTCGAAAGGGCACAATACCCTGTTCAAAGGATCTTAGGGATATCTTGGGGCAATTTCTTTCTACCCAGTGGCCTCTTTTCGTATCTTTTATATCTATAAAACTTTTTTACATTTTCAGAACTTGTTTAAAAAATTACTCGCAATTAAACACTTTTCAGATCGGCTTGTAAACAGTTTTGAAAGCGAAACACGTTGTTTGTAATATTAATTGATATCATATAGAGAGTCTTGACCTGGGTAATGGTTAGTAGTGTGAATACTCTTCATCAAGTGGGATGTGAATATTATTAAAACTTACCAGTCGTTGAAATTTGAATGCGCTGGGGTGATCACATGCCTTAAGCTTCCATTTAGATATGGGGGAGGGAATATATCCTACCATTCACTCCCTGGTATAAAGGAATAATCCCTCCATTTCAAGCGATGTTATTGAATTTCTGGTATTATTTAGACAGTCACAACCTACGCAGATCAGTAGTGTAAATACTTGTCGTTAAGTTAGGTAACCAAAAACATGTTATCTATTTCTACTCTAGAAATAGATAACATGTTATTCGGTGAAAATCAGTTCTCAAAGAAATATACAATACTGTTTACATTGGTTTTTCCCCCTTTAGACTAGGACTATCAACGTTATGACCCAAACTTTGGGGGTGCATACTGAATTAGCAAAGCTCTGTTTTGTCCTGAAAATCGAAATGAAAGGACCCATGAAATAGAAATATTTTACTAATTCCTTGGAAATGCACTTTTTGTGTTTCAAGTAACCCAATTTTAATTTTTGTTTCACCGTTTAGCGTACTTGGTTTTGTGTTATTGGGAATTCGCATAATCGTGAGCAAAACTGTGATGTAATCCAAGGCAAAGAGCCTCAACATTTCATTGGTATTTACGCACACAAAATACTAAATTTTCATACGTTCGTATTTCAATTTCTTTTTGGGCAATCACAGGTCAATTTTGCCCAGTGCCTGGTATATTTTTGTGCATTGGTAAAAGAAAAAATTGACCATTGGTTGATAATTTGTCAATGTTCGAACGTGCCCTTTATCAGAATGGCCTTTGTGTGTGGGGACGGTGCAGACTGGCAGAATTGAAGAATGTATTAGAGTGAAAGCGTGACAATCATAGAAGAAAAAAAGAAAGTTTAAAGCCAGGAATTTGATTACAAATGCAAACCTGGCAGGCTGAGGGTAAGAATGGATAATAAATAACGAGCTTAATTGAATACCATGTAAAAAAAATCATTCCCAGGCCTTGATGTCACAGCCAACTTATTCAAGGTCAACGAGACAGTCAATTTTTATTTGGCAACAGGAAAACAACGCCAGTGGCTATACGTTCCTAACCAGCTGAGATGGCACGTCCGATACTCGCCCCGATTGCAACTGATTCTGGCTATATTGACCCAAACAAAACCAAATCAAACCAAACCAAACAAACATATTGAGCCACTTCACAAGAACACGTATTTCATTATCTTTAGTGACAAATCGTGTGTAGAATTCCTGGGAATCAAGACAGTCTGTGTTGTACACAACACAATGTATCAAGTCGAAAGACTCACCCTTCCTTTTACTCGTTGACCAAGTCCACCATAGTACCTACGAACAGCCTAGTCGCACCATCCCTCTCCTAACTGAAACTTCGACATTGTTGCTCTTCAAAAATTAATGTCAGCGAGACCAAGTGTACACAAAATCCCCATAGAGTTTCTTCCATAAACATTTTACATGTGTGAATTATTCACAACCCTGCCAATTCAGCACTCTTATTGGCTAAGACGCGATCCCGGCAGTCTATATATAAATACAAACCGACCAGCTTTACTGGTCAGCATCGATCATTCCCGAGCGGGCAGCTCCCGGAGTAGCAACTCCTGGACCGTTTGTGAGCGTAAAGCTTTGCCATGAATAACCCTGTCTGTCACTTCCGAATAAACGTTCTGAGTTTAACATTGTGTGCACTTACTATTTTCATAGGCCTTGGCTTCCAGTTTTTGTGTACATGGAGAATATACCAAATAAATTATGTACATGTACATGTATACGTACCCATGCACATGTATATGCACTGTGTACATGTACACACACGTGCAGCTTTTGTTCGTTTGTCTATGCCTACTTTTCAATGCGATGTAGGCGTGGTCTAATTTAACGAGTGGTAGCTTCAAAGCACAGTTTAGAAGGACGTAATGCTGTTTCTACATGTATGTCATTTCACTCTGAAGTTGAAACGTTCAAAGTCCCAGATTCACACATGGCAAGTGGAAACGATTTCACCAACAGCCAAACTGTCAAAATTGGGTGAGTAACGAAAAACCAACAAACGCCTCGTCCATGAAATTTGACCTGTCTGGTCGAAGTCAAGTTCATTGCGGGCACTGCCATTCCGCACCGCATAGACAAGTGAGCAGATCACGTAGGCATATCTTGTACCGACGGAATACACATGTACAGTACGCTGTGCTATAGCCAATATATTGCCTGCATTAAATGCAACACTCAAAATGGCAAACGTCAGACATTGCACGACGCTGGTACTTGGAGTGTTGCAGTTTTACGTGGGCTCCGAGTCATCATCTGCTGAGGGTAAGGGGCAAGAGGCTGTTTAGAAACGGGGAAGTGACAAGGGCTATGCATATGCACATGCACGTGAGACGTGTATTAACCGGGGGACGTCCAAAAGTCTCCATTTCATGTTGATTTGTACTTGTACATGAGGTTGAATCGTGTTGACTCAGGTTGATGTTGACTCATGCAAAATAGGGCTACACCAAGCAATTGAAAGGTTGCTGCTAGTCTGAGCAGTGCTGTTCGTCCGCTAACATAGTTGCTATTGGTTACCCCTCGCTGAACCATGGTTGCTTCTTATGGACTCAATTGCTGTTGCTGTTACATTGGTTTGAATATTCATGATTGAAATAAACCATTCATGCTGTCATTGGAAACTACCGATTGTTCCAGGCGGGAAACCTATGAATACTGGCGCCGAGGGAAGCTTCCTTCTTGTGCTACGTTTCAATCATAGAAACCTTAATTTTGTTATAGTTTGATAACAGACACACTATAAATGAGCAACATGAAATTTATTATAAAGTGGTGTCATGATTTGTGCAAACCTATATATATATATTCTAATCTAATTGAACGAATAATTTGAATACTTAAATTACAGAAAATGCAAATGAATGCTCTCTTCCGAAAGGTCATGGTAAAAGAAAGGTTTTGAGCAAATAAGAATGCACATTTGTTGTAACTGGCAAGGAATACGTTAATCCGAAATCCCAGTCACATATTTCTAACCGCTTTTATGAAACATAATGCACATTTATTTGAAGGATGCAAAACGAAGTTGAATGCTCGTTATTGCGAAAATGAAACCAGGTTTTAAGTCGTTTCAAAATATACGTAAAATTGAAATTTATTAGATCGGGCATTTTCCAAAATTGGCTGGGAAAGCCTATATTTTGGTCTAGATAATGCACGGAGCCCTTAAACCTTCTGGGCTTTAACTCTCGCAGATCGGGAGGAGGTTTCCGTGACTCAATCAAAGCCTAACCCTTTATTGGAAGGAGATGACCTTGTGCTAACCTGCATTCCAGACGTTAGTCGGACGTTCAGGGGATGGATCGAATGGAAAAGCGGCCTACAGCGGAACAGCATGGTCAGTCTCAGTGAACCGACATTCACACTCGCCGATAGCTCACTTATCCTTGCAAGTATTACTAGGGACCAGTCTGGCTGGTACCAGTGTGCAAAGTACACCCAGTGGAACTCGAAAGCAGACGGGACACCTTCGCTTTCCTCAGTTGTTCCTGTTATTGTGCACTGTGAGTGAAAAAACAGTAATAAAGCTTTCCATATTTCACATTGTTGTAGGAGAATATGTTTTTGTAGTACAAAAATAGATTTCCGTATTGAGAAACACTCAGAATAGCTTTTTATAACTTCCTAGGTTACACTGGAATTTTTACGGGATTAAAACTTCCCTGACGTGGGCTGTATTTTCCAAGCACGGTATTCTCTGAGTTTACCAATTTAAGTGTAGTCATAAAGTAAAACCTCTTTTTCAGCATGGGTCTCCGAATCACGCAGCACATTTTATTGGGTAGCGTGACAGGAAGGGGCGAAGCAGATACATTGACCGGACTGCGGGACAGGTCATACATGGTGGATTCTACTTCTCTTTAATGCTTCAGTTTTCTAACTGTCTGAGAAAAGGGAAGTTAACTATTAACGAGTTTCTCGCATTTAACTTTGCCTTCAGACGGCCCCGAGATTTCCGACAAACACAGGAACTGGGTTGGGGCGAAAGAGGGCAACATGGCGATTTTGGAGTGCGTTGTCAAAGGGAACCCCCTCCCTGCAGTGACTTGGTACGGTCCAAACGACAACACTCTATCAAGTTACATGGGAAGGATTTCGCTGGAGCTCACCATCAGAGGAGATAGTGTTATAGGATACACCATCTGTAGCCGCTTGATTATTCCAGCCGTGGTAGCTTCTATAGACTGCGGAACATACAGGTGCAAAACCACCAACCATATCGGAAATTCTGACGAACTTCGAGTCGAATTGAAGGAGACAGGTAGAATTGTGCAAATTCTCCAAATCATGGATCGTGCAGCGGTTGATGATTGAATCCTGAACAATTGAATAATATGTGATTGACGTAACATTTAAAGGAATTAAAATTTTTTACCACTGACTAATCGTAAAGACGTGACCAGGAAATAATGTTCTCCTCGAGTAGGTTCTTCGTGTTAAAACAAACGAACAGATCATTGGAGTCCAATGTCGTTTAGCTAGTGTCCAGTATAGGTGTTTTTATATGAGACAGAGCTGCATACTTGACAAAAACAGGTCGCCAGCCAAAATATCACTGAATCCTCATTATCAGTGTCTGGTTTCCAGCAGATTTTATCAAAGCCCAAAATAAAAAGATTGTTTAGTTTAGGCCAGCCAACTCCATAAGCATGGGTATGGCCAGGGCGGTGAGAATGGGGTCGGAGTGTAACATTCCCGTTAGTTAGTTTTGCCGGCAAAATCATGGTGTCATCTACAAGAATGGAGAAGGAAGGGGGAGGTCCTGTAAGTCTCAGGTTGGGGAATCAGACAGTCACTATGCTCATGAAATTCGCGACAGTCTGTCGGCAAATTTCATGATAGCAACCCCTGATTTGAGTACCTCCTCCAGGTAAAACATATTTTCTCTGATTTTATCTTTTCAAATAAATATGGAAGCATCCCACTCGAACGCAGTGTCATTTGTCTGCACAATTCAACTTTAACAAGCTAAAAAGGGCGTTGGCATGCACAAGGTTTTATCCACTACAAACACAGGACAAGGGTTCCCCTCGTTTGCTCTGTTTTCTTCTCAATCTATTCAATTGCATCTTGACATGAACGGAAAAAAAACTCTTTTTAGCTTGTTAACGTTACGTTGAGCTCTGAAGAACACTGAGACTGCGTTCGAGTTGGGTACATCCATATTTATTTGGACAGATAAAATCAGAGAAAACGTGTTTTACTAAGAGGTGCTGTTTAAAATGGTCAGGTGACACCCGTGTCCCTCAGCACAAATTACAAGACTTTTCCTTCCGTACTGTTTCAGCAAGGTGCAGTTTGAAGTCACGGTTGAAGTACTGTAAACATGTTGATTCGAAGGAATCGCGGAACACGCCTTCCCAAGGGCTTGTCCAAGGTCTGGTCGGAGCCCGTTACGTCAAAAACGGTAATGACATTGAGACTTTAAGAAGTTAAATTAAGTGATATGGCATGGAGCTAAACTCAGCGAAACTTTGTGCGTTCGTTAAGTTTTCAAATATTTTGATAAGTTATAAAAACTAATTCCGAAAACCAGTTCCGAATTCTCATACTCAGGATCGATCCCTACCCCAATACCGACCAAGGGACCAGCATCGCCCCGCACAGACGACACCTTAGTCTTTGTCCTGATAACAGTTGGCTCGGTGGTGCTCCTGAGCATTGTCATCTCCTGCTGGCGCTATTTCAAACGCAACGAATCCAACGCTGTTCAAACAACCAGTCGAAACCTACGTAAGTCTTATTGTTTACAATAGAAAATGTGCCAAGTGTGTACATCATGCGTTTTGGTCCCATGTGACGGATGCACATTAAAAGGAGAGGTCGCTTGACTTTTACAAGGTGGGCGCACAGAATGGAGGTAAACCAAAAAATACAAACATGGCAAATAATTGGTAATAATGTTTCATTGAAGGTATTGGTTAACTAAGTGAGAACAAATTTAAAGAAAAAGCAGGGAAAGGGTAGGTTATCCTCCTTTCAACAAATCCAAAATTGGGGGGCGGGTCACAAGCGGCACCCTCTCTGAACCGACTACTGCCAGTGTCCGTTGATCAAAAGCATTCAAACTTTACGTGGCGGTCACAGTGCATGTGAAAACGACCGGCTATCTTGAAATGCGTTACAGGACACGTCCTTTTTTACCGGATAGTGTTTCTGACATCTCTCTGAGAGGCTGTGGATGGGACTTCAATAAGACAGATGAAATAATCGTGTATCTCGATTTTAATACTGGTATGTACTTCTTCACCTTTATAGGAGAGCCACCAATTGCCAGGACTGTTTCAGTTGAGCTGCCTAATAGGTGAGGGGATGCCGAAGCTAAATCATGCCTGTATGGTGTCTGGCAGAACACACACTTGGACTTAGTTTTTTTGTTGTGCAGTCGAACCTCTTGGTTTCAGAAAAATTAATACAGCTTTTGATGTACAGCAACAAAGCAGACTTTCGATTTTTCTCAGATGGAGAGAATGAGCTCGAACTACAGATCACAGAAAAGGTCGGCAGCTGTGAAAGGGCATGCCTCTAACCTGATTTAAAACATTTATTAAGCTACAAAAATCGAAATATACCTACTTAATTGAAAACCCATCTACGATATCGCGAGAGAAGTTTTCTTTTTTCGTTCATCAAGATCATCTTTGTAAAACGTTCAAGTAATTGTCATTTACATTCTGTACTTATTTGTCTTTTGGAGGTCTTTTGTCTCCACACACAGCGCTGACGAATTACCGCCCACCTACGACGATGCTGTCGGTAAGATAAAATTTGTCTCCTGAGACTATAACGAATTGAATCGCAAAAAGTACCCAGAAATTGTCTTGAGCTATTTTGCGAAATCATATAAACTTTCCCAAAACTGCCTCTCGGCAAATGTTGCTTTAATATCCTAAAACCTTTCCATTTATCAATCCACAAAGTGAAGGCGAGATTTCTTGGCTTAGCACCTGGTTGCATTGCTGCAACTGAGCAGTGAGATGTGAGCATCGTTTGGTACTTTGAAAATCATAAAGGGGGGTTAAAAAGCGTTGAAAGGCAGATCAAGCGCTGAGCAGTTTGAGCACCAGCATCTGAACTCCAATATTCTGAACCTGCTGTCAACTAAAATATATAGTTACATTTGTAGTTTCATGGGAACAAAATGACTAACATGCTCAACACTCGAGCCAGAGAGACATTGATGCCCGCCGTCCTGCCGGCAAGCGTGCACTGGCCTACTGCCTACGACGTAGATTGTAGGGACAAACATGGGTCAACAGTGCCGACCCTGTATCCATCTTTGTGTCAGTGTAGACACAATGTTTCTATACGATTGGGTGCTGTCCAGAACTCCTTTACAATAGCTCTACGTCTTTTTATGTCTATATAACAAACCTAGGCTTTATTCCTACGAGATGGTTTAGTGTTTAATATGTTACTTAGAATACCAGGGCTTTTTTAGTGGAAACCCTGACTTTCCTAAATTGCCTCGACGTTTTTTACATACGTGTCTGCCCCCTTCCTCTTTTCAAATATGTAAAGAAAATATCGAGGCAGACCCTCCTCCCACGTATGAAGAGCAAGAAGAGCTGGAGGCTGTTACTATAAACGTAGCAGGAGATTCTCAGGTTCAAGAAGATGGAGACTAACAGGACGGGATATGTTTTGCGCTGAAACTCTCTGGTGTGGGCTTTATCCATTAGCTATATAAAGATTCATCTTGGTCATTTAACGTACGTTAGCAAAATAAATTGTGTTTCGCGATTTTTTTCACCATACAAATTTGTCTTTTTCTTCATTGGTGTAGGCCTACAGTTTTTTTGATCGATGTTAATGTTGTATGAGCCATGTTTCTCATGTATATTCTCTTTGATTTAAGAACTCATGCTTTAAAATTTACGATTGAAGATCAGGAACATTCGACTGACGCACCTCGAAAAAAGATTTCCGCAAAGATCATAAAAAGCAGCATTTCTCAAACACACACTTTTGGAAAACGAAAATATCAGAGAAAGTTATATGGATCCCAAACATTCAAATATTACTTTTAAAAAATCTTACTGTCGAGCGCCTTGTTTGAATATGATGAGTGGCCTTTGTATGCCATGAAAGGGAAAGAGAAAAAGGAGACAAGCACTGTGTAAGCTCTCTAATTAAGAATTTGCACATTTTACAACTGCGTTTTCAAAAATTTTGGTGATCACGCTGATGCAAATTTTTTTATTTCACGAGCTGATACCCAAGCGTGTTGCGGAAATAAAGTGCGGAAAAAAATGCTTTGAAAGGTTTGACATACTCGATGCCTTAAAACTGGTGGAATGAAGATCAGTATGAGTTCGTTAAAAACGAAAATGCACAGAATGCGCACAGGAAGTTGTGCACTGCACCAGATGTCAGTTAATGAAAATGAAAATACCCGGTTCTCTGAAATGTGCGCAAATGAGCGCACTCATGCACAACTGATTGTCATTTGGTAGTGTCAATTACAAAGACCAACAGCAGTGCAGATGTTAATACCCTAAGATAAGTAATATGAATATTTATAGGTAAAGAGTGGGAAAAGGTTTAAAAAAGTGATCCCCGCATTGTTCCTTTAGTTTTTACTCACAAGAAAATTAACTTTGCAAATCAATATTTCGACTGTTTTTGTTGTGAAAACATCCATGAAGCATTTCAAAGGACAAATTTCAACGAATTACAAGATTAACTCATGCTGTGTAGTAGCCAACATTTTTATTTCTTTATTTCTGATTTCCTTTTATTGTTGTATGGGGGGGTCCGACTCGAACGCAAACTGAATAGTGTAATTTTGACTTTGAACGGTTTCGTAACGTATGTACAAGTCCGCTGCAGTGATTGCCCCTTTGTAAAAATCGTCGAATCTTTCCATACACCAGCGCACTTGAAACACTGTGCTCAGAAAGCAAGGATCAGAAAGGGAAATCCTCGAGCGTTACAATGACGACTTTGCATCTGGATTCATTTGAGGGTTAAAGCAGCACATTAGGAATCCGGACCAGAGCATGAAATACATGTACATGCAGTGGCGTAAGTCTGTGATGGGAATTAGGGAAGGAATGGGAAAGGTGGGTGGGGGATGACTTGTCTGGCCTTAGAAATTTGAAAACAGGAGGGGCGACATCATATACACTATATCGGGGGCGATATTTATGATAAACATGTACATCGGTAATTAGTACCAAATTCATGCCGAATGTTAGATCAGAATGACATACATATGGCGTTTAAAAATTTGCTTTCCTTTATGTTGATATTGTAAACATTTTAGTCGCTGGGAAATCCTGGAAATTCTTCACAATCCACTTTAATTGTTTGGCTCATCAAAAACGTAGTTTGGGGTGATTCAATAGCCCACCCCCGTTACCTCAGAAAGGGTGGGGGGATATAGGCTATACCCCATCCCGCAGGATTTACGACCATGTGTAGTACATGCAATTAAGGGTTGTAAGGATTTGGTCACCGATAAATAACACAGTCAAGCTATGTGCAAACCAATCTGCTTTAATTTTTAAGTGTTCAGAGCGTCACGAAGTGACCATTATGATAGCCGTTTCATTTAGTTAATGACAGCACAGGATGGTTGGTGTATTTTAGGTCTTTTGCTTGACATGTGGCAAAGTAACAGCTCACTCATTTAGAAAAGCTGCTAAACAAAGCCTAGTCACTGAGAGAATAACACAGGGAAACTTCCTACTTAGCTGAAATAAGTTTAAGAAAAATGCTCCTAATGCATTGCAACTTTGGAAAAAACGGATTAAACTAGACGTAGTGGCTGTTGTTCTCGAAAGGTCGTTAAAATTGTTCTAAATGTATCTTTTCTCAGAAGTCACCAATTCCTTCCATTCTGAGGCATACAGCTTTCTTTGCAGTTTTCATAAGTATTATTTAAAACTTTTATATGTTTTTCCAATGATGACTTGAGGAAACTGTTTCTCATTCTTGTATACATTTGGTAATGCAAGTTCATATTTATATTCGTAAATAAATTGAATACAGTCCACCCGGCGGATCAAGAGGATGTGTGACTTCCTCCTGAAGCTATTAAAAATGTTGTGTAGGGCTATACGCCTCGAGCAGGAGCACCCCCTCTTCTGTTGAAAAGATGGGAGGTGTTTATTTTGTTCGTAGCAATACGACCGCAACGCGTGCTTTCATAGTTGTTCGTGAACCAACGAAGTGCAATTCCCCAAAGGAAGCCGGCATTGCCGTCTCTTGGTCCATCTCAGGGCACATAACTAAATCCATATCATTGAATTTCATAGCTAATTTCGCATTAAAGTACACACAATTGCGTGCCAGATCTCATGGTGATTCTACCTTACCATCGTCCAAATCCTGATTAATTCTACACAAAAATTTTGTACGATCTTCAGGGACTATGTTCTACCAAGGAAAGCCCATAGTCCATGAAAGTCACACTGTGACTGGTGTACGCCTGTTTGAATATTTACAAACAAGTGGGGAACCCCGTAGCAGTTTGGGTGAACACTTTTATATAAAACCAAAGTTGTACTGTGAAAACGTGAGAGCGTAATAAGAATAATAGCACACAAAGGTCAATTTTAACATCATCAGTACTTCACACAATGTTTTCCAATGGAAGCCAGCGGCCGTAAAGCCAAATGTTTGGATAACAAAAGTGCATCGACGTGGCAGCATATACAGACGTGTGTTTGCGAACCAGACAAGGGTCCAAACTTCAGCTTTTGAAAAGCGGCGCTCCCCGGATAAAAGAGCAACCACACGGCATCGACATGGCGCGCTTTCATTCCGTCGTATTTGTGTGTGCACTACTACAACCTTCTATGCAAGCCGTCAAAGGTAAGGCCTGCGAATACTAACTTAAGACACTGGTCACAGTTAAGACACGTTACCAGCTGAAGTGACAAATCTATTAAACGAGTGGAAACAGGACAGATTTTTTAGAGGTCTATAAAATATAGACCGAAACAAGATTTACCGTAGACTTGCTTCCAAAAATGTATGAAGATGAAGCACCTCTGCGACAGAACTGTTGGAATAGATTGTTTGTGTGTCCCGAACTATTGCAGATGAAGTTCGGATCTACAAAGGAGTATCGGCAGAGTAGCTAGAAAATAACGGTCTTCCTTTCGACATACAATGACGAAAATTTGGAAACAGCATGTGATTAAATAGTGATCATCAGAAGAATTGTTTTGACTCTGCTCTTGAAACCTGCTTATTGCAGATAATTGCGATCCCAATTGCAATGCAGGTGCGATTTTAACGTAACAGGCACGTTCATTTCATTGTTTGATATAAATTTCAGAGCATTTTTTGAAAGCCAGGCTTACAAATTTCCTTCATGTAATTAAAACATACAATGTTTAGTAGGCCCATTGCATACGACAGGCCTACTGAAAGCTCATCCTGGCAATTCTACAGGAGATAAATATGCATACTTGTAACCTATTCTGGACACCTGTGTCACACTCAACCCTGACATCGGAACAAAAGCGACTGATGTTTGTGAATGCGGCGGTTGTCACACCTGCGACTAGTATAGGGGAAATGGATATTTTTTCGAATAGAGATCTATAGACTTGAAAGGTTTTAGCACGTGCCGTGAATAAACTCGTTCCGAATCGACGTCATTCACAAGTAAATTCTCAAAATCACAAACGGATTTCTAATAACAAACAGACAGAATGATTAACTATACCCAAAACTGACAATATCGATGATGTCAAATTTTGCGTATTTCCATGTGGAACACGTGGGGCACTCTGATGAGCGCCACAGGAAAGCGCACACCCCAAAACAGAGGTTATTTTGTCATCATATGTAAGTCTTCTCGTTAATGTATATGCCAGTAATCTTGTATCATGGAGTGACATTTCACTGTTCAATGATTAATTAGTTAGTTAAAACATGAATACGGACTTCAGCAACAATATTAATGGAGTGACAAACAGTATGCTCTTTGTAGTTCATCGAAGACGTCCCTTTTTCTTTTGTTTTTTAATAATTCACAGATGGAGCAAAAATTATCAACAAAGACCGGACATGGATTGGCTTAACCAACGGCTACGCAACCTTTGAGTGTCTGGCCAAGGGCAATCCTCCCCCTACCGTGACATGGTACAATCCAAATGGCATAGAAATTACAAATGATTTGAATGCTGGCGGGATTAACTTGGAAAACACTGTTTCTGGGGACAGGGTTGAAGGCTACGTGATCAAGAGCCGCATGAGCATTTATCAGTCTGGCAGCTGGTTGGGGGTTTACCGATGTTCAGCTACCAACAACATGGAGACACATGACTTTCACGAAATCCACTTGCTTGAAACAGGTAACATTTTCGAGGATACAGAATACATATTTTGAAATTAACTTGATCTTTGCTATGAAATACAGTAGTTGTAAATAGTCGTGTCATATTCATTCGATGATTTCTTTTTTAGAGGGGAACAGTAAAAAGCACAGTGTAACTTTGATTTTCATATGCTAAAAAAATTCACATCAAAGACCGATGGAAATACGTGAGCCTCATTTATTTTAGATTAAGACCTAAAATTTATTAAGAGTCATCGGGACGTGATAACAATTACCCTGGGCTTAAGATTTTGGAGTTTCAATGTGTAAGAAATCATGGAGTGATAAGAAAATTGGGCTCTCATGATGAGGAAATTTTTAATTTGGTTAGGGGAGGACTGGGAAGTATTCGAAAAATTGCCAACGTTATTTTCTTCGCTAGACGCAATCTACTCTAGGGCGCCCGCCGTTTACACAGCAGACCCTAATGACCTGGCTAGGAGCAACAACACGCCAGTCGTGCTGGGCATCATTAGCGGTGCTCTATTGCTGACGATGGTGATTGTGTGCAGCTGCTGGCAATGTCTTGCTTGTGCCAAGCTCTCCGTCCAAGGTGGTGTATCTCTCAGGTTGCTCATGCAGGCTAAGGTTGACTCCAGTCAGAACTTTCAAGGAGTTTAAACAACTAAGTGGTAGTGAAGGGGACACGTGGCTTGGTTGTGAGGGTTTGTAGCTTCTGATAATAGGGCCCAAGGTTCGAACCCTACCTCAGACAAGTCACTTCATCCCTACCTACCTCTCCATGTACAGGAGTAAATGATTTTGATTCTGAGCCCAATTATGAGGAGGGATAATAAAGTTTTTCTCAATCGCTTTAACACAGTTACCGCTACCTTATGGCCTATTCATCAAACAGATAAGAACGCCCATTGATAGACACTGAGAAACAGAAGAAATTATGACAAAAAACAAGTTTCAAAATTATATGACCTCTCTTTAATTTAATATCTGCTTCAACGTCGCTCCAACAATAAAAACCACAAGCTGGTCAATCAGTGCCAACAAAGAGCTTCATTATTGAGGCAATCGCTTTCGAAAATGAAAAATTAGTTTGCATATTGCTTTATGGAAGACGTAGGCGATCACTTCTGTCACTGTCAGGCCACATGTGCTCATTGACGTCGCAGCAAACGTCTTTTCTTGCATGCTAGGCACCTGCAGCGTGGCGGATCCGGGACGGACACACCTCTTCATCGACGGCTTCTTCCATATCTTGAAGAAGAGTGATTCTCTCCTATGGATCACGATCGTAGTCCCGCCAGCGCCAGGCAGAGAAAAACTCCTCGATTGAGTTGAGGAGGGGAGAATACGGTGGCAGGAAGATCTTGGTAAATCAGGCATGTGCTTGAAACCATTCACGCAAAAGACCCGCATGGTTGAATCTGACATTGTAACACGATGGCAAATGTTGCCAGCCCTTTATCGTCAAGACCTCTCCCTTCTAGTGGTACGAGAGCTTCATGCAAGCAGTCCAAGAATGCGACCATTCTTTGCACGTTGCACAGACCTTGTTCAGCCCTGTGAGCGATGACGCCATTTCTTGAAATTGCCGCACACTTGGTCATGTTTCTCCCACACCCACCAGGTTCACGGTGGCTTGCTGTCCGATGACATTTCGGCCTCGCCGTCGTCTTTTGGTCAGGTTGAAACCAGCTTCATCCACGTAGGTGTATTCGACTCTTTCCGCTCGTGTATCCAAAATGTCAACTTATGTAGTGGCTTGGACGAGATTGTTCAGGTTGTGTACAGTTATCTGTGTTTTTCGATAATCATACTTGACCGTATTGGTAGCGCCTTCACTTTGCTGCTGTTTCGCCTTCTCTTCAGGATTTGATCGATGGTACTCAAACTAACTCTTGGTGTATTTGCAAATACATCATTGTCCTCAACTACCCTTGTCTGGATTTTTTCTCAGACAGATGGTGTTGTTTTCAAGAATCATGTTCACCGTTGCATTCTCCTGTCGTTCGGTGAAGAGGCGTCTTCTGTTGCCAGAATGTAGTCCTCTCCTCGATCTGTAAATATACAAATGAATGAAACACCAAATATGCGAAAACAGAATACAAAGAACTGGACTTTCAGCCTTATTTGAGTAATTTCGCTGTGAGCAAATTTCTCGACATCGCAATTTATATGAATTGTACGGACACAGTAATACTATACATATATTTAGTGTCTCTCCTGCTTACCTATTTTCGTTTTGAAATACCCGTATGACTACAGTACAGTGCATTACAGTAGACTTGAAGACATGGGATTGCACCCATTCTCCAGTTTCTGATTGGTAATCTTATCTGTGAGAGTCGCTAAATATCTTGTTGGACAAAGTGGGTGCCCGTCGTGTTCCTCTCGCTCTTCGTTGATTACCTCTCCCTTGGACTTTTGCAGCTCCAGCTCGGTCATGTCGTTCTTGTTCCATTTTACACGTGAACGATTTCAATTGGTCCTTTTCATTAATGCACCTGTTATGCGAATGATTTTAGTAGACCGATGCTTTATCGAATTTGAACACAATACGCCTTTAGTTGAAAGTAAACTGCATTCATTTGAAAAACCATGAGACAGTTACATTGCTAACGTTTAATGAAATGTAACAATTTTCTAGTGTACTGAAAGTTGCACAAATACAACAGAATACTTTAAGTTCCACACAAAGCACGCAAAGTTGTGAATGATGCGATTTCAATTCTAATTATTATCAATTTAGTTGTAGATACCACTAGTGCCAAAGCGATTGAGAAAAATTGTAATAAAATATCCCCTTCTTTGAAAATGAAAGACAACGCTGGATATTCTTATCCCTATTGAAACATGGTGTTTTTTGGGGAAATTCGATGAAACCATTTCTGGCCCATTTGTTGTACGAATTTCATCACTCAAACGTGCCAGATATAAGAAGTTGTGTCATTTAATTTAGAAATGCCCCAGTGTCATTCAGTTCCACTTAATTGTTGATGGAATGGCAATTCTTACCTAATCGTTAGCTACCTCTCTTTTTTAGGAAGTCAGTTTTGTGCAGCGGGGATTGACAAGAGACAAACGTAGCTGCCTCAAAATGCAGACTATGGATAGGCATTTTTTGAGGGATTGCATTCTAAATAGTCACCCTCTCTTTATGTACTATCCACCATTATCTCTGTATTCTGTTTTTAAATTTTATTCACTTGTAAATGATCCCTTACATAGTAATAAATCTCTTTCAATACACAGGAGAATCAACGCCAACATCGACAGAGCCGAACTGGTGAGTTGAACGTCATTTTTACCACCACCAACCTCACCACAACCTGGGCCACAACCGTGACGCTGTCAAACACATGATCTTACGCTAACAGGGACTCCGTGTATTTCAGGAAGATCGCAAGCAGTTATCAGTGAAAAAGGCACGCTAATCTTGGAGTGCCAATTACCTTGAGGCAGTGACAAAACAATGGAAATCTCAATGCACACAACCGCAAGCACATTACCAAGCACCACCGTGAAACAGCGCGTAAGGTTAGAGACATTTCTGTTAAAGTAAGCACAACTTTTTGGTGTTAAAATAGCGCGATGAAATTGGGCATGGGCCCGATGAACGGCGCTTCTTAGCACGCAATTTCACGCTTACAAAGGCTCTGCGTATTTCACAGAGGACCGTAAGCAGTTAACACAGCCAAATGTAGGCATGCTCACCTCGGAGGAAAGATTTGTAGTGGTGTAACAATAGAAATCTGTATGTGCGCAACTGTTAGCACAACCATGCCAAGCATCGCCATTAAAAAGTGCGTAAGGTTTGCAAATATGTCTGCTCAAGTTGCATGACTTTTCTGCTTACTGTTAAGCAGGTCAATCAAATTGGGTCCTGGTCACAATGAAAAGAACCGTTCTTTGGAAATCGACAAGTAAGGTATCTGTACAACCCCTCATATTAAGACTGTTGAATTCATGCATCAGATCAGTAGCTGACGGAGGGCGCTCTGCGCAGGGTATTATGAAGCCTTATAAGTGGCTTTTTCGTATTTCCTCCATCTCTATAATATCAGGGATGATGTTTTCGATTACGATGCTCCTCCGTCTTACGACGAAGTATTAGGTAAGTAGGTTTGATTTGCTGAAACCCCCCAAATCAATTCTGCCCTCTTTTGTGCAAAACTATAACATGTATGTATGTCAATAACAATATATTTAGGGTATACAAATACCAGCATACAAAAAGACCCCTTTTAACGGGCACCATTAACCTTTAATGTTCTTTTCCAAAAAAGTGTAAATTTTGTACGTGACTATAGCTTAATAATGGTTGCTTCTGGGTATTCTCTCATTTCTAGAAATGGACTCTGACACGAACGAAAATGATGAATTCCCTCCAAAGTATGACCCGCAAAGGGCGTGCAATACGGCTGGCCTATGTTGGGAAGATAGACGAGAGGCAGAACATTGCATTTAGAGGGCATAGTTCATTGTTAACAAACGGTGTGGGTCAAGGAAGGGGAAGTGTGAAGAATACGTGTTAGTTGTGTTATTGCCAAGAAATTACACAGATTGGTTTTAAAAGTGCCTTTGACATTCTGGTCTCATTTCTATATTTCATTACATTTTATTTTCCCATACATGTTTCTTTCGAGGTTGACTGTCTTCAAAAGACATTCGAAAATTGTTTTGCACCTTGTATTTTCGTAACTTACAGAGCGACAGAGAGGGAAAAAACCTCGTCATTTACTTGTAAAGCTCACAATAATTGTAGAATTGTCCCTTTGTAACTCCTTCTGTTGAATGCGAATTCCTGTTTAATGTGTGAAGATACCTCGTGACATGCATAAAATGCATTTCAGTGTTCCTTGTATGTAAAACCACTTTTTAGTCCCTTTGTCTTTCAAACGTATTGGGCCGCCTAAAAAAAGCATTTACTTAACATCCAATATTTAGGCTTTTTCTCGTAGCTGTATGACAAATATAAAACCAAATGCTTTTTACTGGAATACACTTACTTAAAGAAAGAGTATTTCCTGGTAACTTTTTTCTCTTTAGCTTTAGCTAGACGATAAGCATTTGCTTCGGCTTGTATTTTAAAAAGGAGTACATTCTTCATAACTGGAGCATCTGCTACCATTTTTCACACACTTTTAGCTTGATGGGTTTGTTCCATGTTTTGGAAACACCCAATTTCACTTTTACTTCCTTTTTCCTTATGAGCTTTTTCATTAGTTCCTTATTTGCTAAGGAGGTTCCAGTCGCGTGCTGATACTTATTTTTTTGCCATCTGCTCATGAAGTGCACATTCCTTCCAGGCAACTGTAACTTCAGCAACGCGTGATACTGCTTTACCAAATTAAATAGTTCACTTTACTTGCATTCTGCAGTTGCAGAGAACTTTTCTGTAAATGGTTTTTGTGGATTGCAATTATATGTACCGCCAACATGCATACCACAGCTCATCAACTCCTATCTGCTCTGTGTGCCTGTACGTACAGACAGTAGAACCCCTATTGTTAAAGACCATTCGGCTGCATAGTCAGCCACGAGTATTCAGCATTTTGCTGCCCTTTGTACAAGCAGATGCTGAGTAGCTGAGTAGCGAAAGAAACATTTTATTCAAATAAATTCAAAGATCGGCTAATTGTAAATGTTTTTACAATTGTTTTGTTTTTTTGTTACATGCTCGTTTTGTTTGCTGGAATTTCATAGCATTTGATCGTTTGAATTCACACCACCCAATGAGCTAGTACGCTAAGGCAGCAATCGCTCTTGGGCCCATTACAGTTTCAATGAGAAGCTAATAATGAAACTGTATATGAAGTATCAGGTTTTTTTTTAATGCAAGGAGAGTTTTGATTTGATATTGTATATATGGGTACTCACAACCACCTTTTTCGTCCTGCATCGTCAAGGTGTTAAACTTTTTATCCACACTTTTGACATATGACACACAATTCGTAACAATGGAGGAGTTAGATGAATATTACATTGCACTCACCACAATTAATCTATCAACACTGAAAAAGACAGGTAGGGCCCGACACTGTCTTGAATGCCTTAATGGGTGTAAATTCCAGTGGGATAGGGATATACATGTATATTCCCTCACAATTTTTGACCTAGGAGTGGGCAGTTGAATTATCCCCTGCTTTTTAGTGGTGAGAATACAATTATGAAAAAAGGAGAGCATCATTCAAAGAAGCTATAAATAGATTACCTTTTACGGTAAATGTACGATTTTGTAGTCATGTAATAAATATTGCAGAAATTTCATCTGTATCATGAACCTCATCCCCTTTGTGGTGTCACATGGATGTCAGTATCCTCCTCTCACTTTTGAAATTTCCTTGGCTGTGAAATTCATCCCCCACCTTTCCTGTGCCCCTTTTCGGAAACAAATATCTGACATTGGACGTCACTGCCTCTAGGCAAAACAGACATGAATCAGTTCAAAGCCATTTGTGGAACTTCTGGCGACGCAGAGATGAACATTTTCGTGCATGTTCCCGTCGTGCAGGAGTGCACGTACACATTACTTGTATCGTAGTTATGGGGCCCAATCTTGTCTTTTTATCAGTTTGTGGAGACTGAAAACGCACCTCCGTCTAGGGTTTTCTCACAAAATAAGTTGTCCTAACCCCATGAAAGCTTGTGAAGCGTTAACAGCACATTAATGCATGGGAGGATCCTTCAGGATTAGTGCGAATACGCCACAGGCAGTGCAAGTAAAAGCAACACAAATCGTTGTATTGCGTGTCACCAGTAAAACACATTTTTGTGTTGACGTCATACCTCGCACATTCAGTGTACTGCGGCAGAGTGACTTATAATCCCCACATGACATTTTTCGCATTTATTTATTAAACGAGCAACTGTAGTGACATTTTAATGTCAGTTTGAACTCTAATCAGGAGTTCTGTCCAGGTTTTTGTCCCTCTTAACTCAATTGCGTCAGGTCCAATTTCCAGATGATTAGGTACCGCCTCTAAAACAGACAGAGATGCCAAAATGGCGTACATCATGCATGTAACAATACTGCTAGGAGTATTTCAAATCTGTAGTTGTATAGGGTTGAGCCAGAAAGGTAAGTTACAGAAGCGGACGATTATACAGGGAGGGTTTAGCTGGGCTTAACATCCAAAATGCATTGTGTTTCCTTCAGCACCAAAGAAGACGATTAGGAATGAGCCAAGCAAATTGTGTCTGAAACCAATCATTGCGGTGGTGTCATATTTTATTGCATGTGCTGCCTGTCGTGTATACGTTGAGATTGATGCACATTGCATTGACTTAAGGTGGCATGGACTTCGGTCCCATTCGTCTCGGGAGTGACGAGTGTTGCGGCTTTTGATTGCATTGATGACAAACTACCTTAACGTATCCAGCAGGGGGAGACGAGTCCCCCATCTCCGACTTGCAGTGTTTTTTCTTTTGATATTTAAAAGCGCTATCGATATTGACAATAATAATTTAACATTCATGCGCCAGTATCGCATATGATCGAAGCGCGTTACACCATCAGCTTAAATTAAGGAGAGATTAAGAGATGAAAGTAGAAATATCAGTATGAAATAAGTGTCACCGTTTCAGTTCCCAAACTGCAGTATATGGAAATATGTTTGCCTGCCAACAGAGGGAGAATAACGCCTAAGCCTAACCCTACTGGTGTCTGTGACGTCTCATTCTTTCCCAAGGACAGACGCTTCATACCCTACCTAAGTAATAAAACATCCAACTATAGGAACCAGTGACACTAGAAACGTAAACCAGGCCTACATTCACTGCATTATTTTGCAAATGTTACATTAAAAAGAACGGTTTTAATTTTACATTTAAAAGAAGCCAATCTCCATTCATCAAGTATGTGGCATGGCAAAGCATTGCATAGCTTTGAAGTTTAGACGGAAAATGCCCGTTCACCGAATTTAACATTTTCCTACTGGGACAATCCCGAAACAGGGCAGTTGTTCGCTGACCTGAGATGGTGTCCTGACTCTTAAGAAAAGATCTCATAAGATCCTGTAGGTATCTTTGAGCGAAGATGTGAATGTCTCAATTTAGTCAATGAAATGATTTTAAAATTAATCCAGTACAAAACAAGTAACCCGTGCTGCTTTTGTGCACTTGATGTTATATTGGTATTATGTGTGTTGTGTGTCAGAGGGACGTCCGGTTGCAGCATTCTAAACCCTCTGTAATCTCATTCTGTGAGTCATGGGCAAAACGTACAGTAGACTGTTATGATAATCTAGAAAGCTGGTCACAAAGACATGAATTAACATCTAAAGAGATTCATGAAAATGGAATTTACTAATGTGTTTAATGAATTGAAGGTGAAAGACTAGACCAGTTCGCTAGTAAATTCCACTTGATGTGCACATGGCAAGTGGACGCAATAAGTTTGAGCGGCCGATTGAAAATGTACAGGGGCACAAATTTCTCAGTCATTTTTCTCTGAGCTGCTGCACTTTCTTCATTTTTTGTCTTCGGAAACCCTCTAAAATTATTATCCAAATGCTGCTAAAACGCATCCATGCCAAGACGTCCAGTTTCTTGTGGTAATAATGTAATTTAACCCTAAAAGAGTCGGGGCGGAATCTGCCTCCCCTCGACATTTTCTTTTACCAATATTGCCTCCATGCACTGTGCCTTCAGTTGAAATGTTAGGAATTTTGAAGAGTAATCCTTTGCGTTCATTTGGGCGCACCAATGTTCTGAAAATTGACCTTGCCGCTCTTTCGCTGCAAGCAAGTTTCCGAGACGGGCTAACCAAACAACTTTTTCCACTGCGATGCTCTTTGCACATGTGCTGGCATGCATATACACATGAGCTTCAATGGTGGTTACAACAAAACCACAAAGTTCTATTGAGATCAAGCTTCGTTTTTATATTTATTACAAGTTATTTACATCCATACCCAATTTCAAAACACACCCACAGTGGTATATATAATGCCGAGTTGGATGTGGGGGTAGGCAATCAGCCCCACCCAGATGTGTTGGGCCTAAATATACCCATCTGGATTATTATGTCTCCGCGGCAATAAAAACAGATATGGCCTGATGTTGTCTTGGACAGAATCGCCACCAGGCGAAACCTGGTGGAAAGAGAGTAGTGCCAATTTCAGACTTTAGAACCCAACTGGCTGTTCATTATGTGTGCAGTATGTCATAATCTACAATTTAGTTCCAACAATTAAGACATTCATGTCGCAACTCTCTTTATGAACAGCCGTACGCGAAATACGCGTGCATCAGTTCGGAGCTGTTTTGGGATCTTGTGCCGATTCAGAGATAAACATATTGTCGTGCAAATTTCCCGTCACACGCCTGCGCACGAGTTCATTACTTCACTGCAAGAATTATAGTGCTAAGTTGGTGTTAATTTTACATCCTAGGTGTTATGACAAGACTGAGGGTGTTGAAGTAAAAATAGGCATAGGCCGAAACTTGTATTTTCTTCAGTTTGTGGCGACCAAAAACCTCGGTCTAGAGTTTTCGAACAAATGTACCCCTATCCAACGTTACCAGCACACCGCAGTTATTAATGAATAGAAGAAAGACACGTCTATGACTAATGCAGCAACGCCACAAACAGTACAGGTAGAAGACAGCACATGCTGTTTGTACTGTGCGTCACCAGCGAAATACACTTTATCTTTTGATGACGTAACACCTTGCATATTGAATGTAGCATTATATAGAGTGACCTATTCAACACACATGGCCCTCCCGTTTATTTACTTAAAACGAGCAACTGTTGCTTCCCCCTACATTTGAACTCGATCAGGAGTTCTGTTCAGTTTTCCCCATGCACTTAATCCATTCGCGTCGGGGTCAAATTCCAGACGATTGGTTGGGCGTTGCCGTCTCAAAACTGAAAAAGTCTCTAACATGGCGTACGTCATGCATATAACTATGTTGCTAGGACTGTTTCAGATCTGCAGTCATATAGAGTTGAACCGAGAAGGAAAGTTGCCAAACAGAATGCAAGGTTATGCAGCCGGGCTTAACATCTTAGGTAGAAAAATACATGGCTCCTTTTTCAGCAGCAAAGAAGAGGATTTGGACTCAGGCGCACAAATCGTGAACGACATTTTATCACAAATGTTGCCAGACGTTCAGTTAAGAAGTTTTATGCCCATTTGAGTTTGTCGTATTGTTGGGTAAGGATTCGATCTCATTTGCCTTTGATGTGGCGAGTGTGTGGACTCTAAATCGACTTCATAGCAAACCACCTTACAGACGTAGCCACCAGGAAAATAAACACCCCCGGACTCACATTGCTTCTCTTTTCAAAATACTAAAAACGCTACCACTTAAGAAAGAGTACTTGTCAGCTCCTTTAAAAATCTTTAAAGGTTAACAGACAAATTGACAAATATTTAGCAAACAAATCATTTTTATGAGTGTGGGCTTTTTAAGAAATGTTCTGCATAACATTAGTGAAATGTACGTAAGTGCAAACTCACTGTCCTTTCCAACCGGGAGCAAGCTTTCCCCCACTGGACGTATAGTGTGTGGAAAAACCATTGCTATTGTTAATATTTTCTTTTTTCGCCTTTGTCTTGTCAGTTCAAAATCCCATTCACTATTTGCACTTTTTTCCACTCTTGACTTTAGTCTCTTTGTTTATTATTATCATTCAGGAATGGAAAAACGGCAGCACATAGAAACAGTGCTATTTGATTTACGGGGAATGAAAAGATCTTTTACTGATGGAAATAAATAAAAATCATTTCAGCTAAAAAATAAATTTGCCCCCCCCCCAAAAAAAGAGATTTGAGACAATGCCGTAGACACCAGTACGATTTGTAAATCAGATTACTAGTGATAGGTTTCCAAGCAGATTCTGCGTCAATTAATCTATTCAAGGACACCCACTTCCCTGTAGTCAGTCCGCCCTTTACCCTTTTCATCAGGATAGCCGATCATGAAAAATATAATAGCAAATAAATAAGTAAGGCTCTGAATCCCTAAATCAGATTGGCCAAACTATGGAAGATGTCTTTTCGACTGGATCAACGTTTCCTCTAAGAAGTCAGTTTTGGCATAATCCCGATCCTATGACACATTATTACAAAGCCTCCAATGAATTTATGTTGAATCTATATTGACATGTTTGAAAATATTATTTTCTTTCACATTGTTATTAGACCTGACCATTTCAATATCACGTTATTGTACATCATATGCAATCAGGCCTTTTGGAAATTCAGAAAATAATAATTGCCCGTTTAGTAGATGATTTGACAACTGTGTATGTGGTGCAAATTCGGACAAAATGACAA